GGGAAATTATGGAGGGAATCCAGTTTCAGGCTGGGAGAAGGAAGCTACAGAAAACTGGTTTCTAATACGTTGGTTTTGAGATACGTTTGAGATGATGCATCTCAAAAATCCATAAAAGTAATCAGAAAATTTCTGACACAACTGAGTTACATGATGTAATACATACCCTTTGACCAAACTCATTCTAGAGTTCTATGCCTCTGTAATATAGCTGAAAATAACATTCTAAAGTATGGGAAAATGAATGGCTAAGAATGTTCATTGTGGTTGTGTCTATTAATAGAAAAAGGGGAAATAAAATTAATGTCCAAAAACTGGCTTTATTTAATAAACTTTTATGAAACTATTCAACATAACATCATTTTCCTAGTTATGTGGTTGTTTTAAAACCTGTTTAGTGGGGCTGGAAAGATAGCTTAGGGGGCTAAATCACCTGCTCAGGCAAGCACGGGGACTACAGTTCAATCCCCAGTATCCCATGTCTCACTAGTCCCACCCCAGGGCGGGCTGAGCTGGCCACAAAAATAAGTAAATAAATAAATAAATCCTATTTAGTATGTAATCCTATGATACTAATTTCATAATGTTATATAAAAACAGTTAAAATACACTATGCTTAAAATTATAACAATGTGTATGAAATAAACAGAAAAGCTGAGAAATTGATAAATGGTAGATTTGTATTTGTGTTTATATTATTATTTAAAAATTAGTAACATGTTTATAGTATTTTTTTAAATTTTTTCCCATAATTTTATTGATAAATAGCAATGAGACAGTTTCAAATCAAATTGATAGGACAGTTTCTATAATTAACACATTGCATACATTCTTCCTAGTGGAGTATTTCTTTTTAATTGTAAATATAAGTGTAAATTTTTTTTTCAAAACTTTAGTTTGCCATCTGGTTTGTTTCTTTAAGCTAGTTAGGAGACTAACACAAAAAGTATAAAAGGTTCATATTAATGGGGTAGCATGTACTGTTTAAAAAGATATAGATAGATATAATTTAATTTAGGACAAATATATTTATATTCTCAAACATTTATCATTTCTATATAGTGAAATTTATAAATAATTTCTTCTCACTTTTTAAAAATGTATTTTAGTATAGGGTCTACAGGGTCTCACTACATAGATCGGACTCATAGTGATCCTCCTGTTTTCAGCCTCCCAAGCGCTGGGACTACAGGTGCGCTCCACCATGACCAGTCTCAGCTGCTGTCTCAGTGCGCCCCGGGTCGGGGCTGGCACGGCACACCGGGGATCAAACCCTGGTCCCTGCGTCTGCCCAAGCAGGAATCTTCTCACTTTTTGAAATGTGCATTACATGCCTATCGTCTGCAGTCACCCTAAGGTGCAGGACGCCTCAGCAGTCCTTGATCCTGTTTAACTGCAGTCAGCACCCAGCCATCGGGCCTTGCTCGGTCCCTGCACCGTCCTGAGCTCTGCAGCTCTGGGAACTGCATTCCACTGGCAGCGTTCATTAGATCCATAGTTTAGATTCCGCACATGAATGAGATCATGGGGATTTGTCTTTCTGTGCCTGCTTGATCTCACTTTAATTTCCCGTCCATCGCCTCGCCGCAAATGACAGCGTTTCCACCCTGGTGAGGATGAATGGCATTCCTTTGCGCATCTGCGCAACCTTCGCGCACACTCCGAAGCCGCCGAGCAGCACGAGGCTCTCCACTCCCTCACTCTCGCGAGCAGCACTGCGGTGCACATGCCAGCGCAGCTGTCTCTTCCCAGGGACACTGCCAGCTCCCTTGGGTGCAGATCCAGCGGATGGGCTGCTGGGTTGTACGGACTTCTCATTTTAAAATTTTAAGGATTGTGTTCTTTTTTCTAAAGTAATATTTAAAAAGTGTAACTTTGTGCTTAAGATCTGAGAGCAAACCCCCAAGTTGTCAATTTTATGCCAGGGCAATAAGTCTAGTCTACTTTATACTCATTCACAGACTAAGTGTCTTCATGCTGAAAGCAAATCTTAGCTACTTTTAGATGCATGTAAATTAATTGTTTGTTTATTCATGAGGTGGTAAACACATACTTCTCATAAACTAAAAATCCTAACTCCATGTGCCACACAGATCTTGGGGCCACACGCCGCCACATTCAATGCAGTGGGCCCAAGTGAGATATGTGTTCAGGTTTAGAAATCTTATGTTTTTTAGTTGTAAAGAATTTGAGTTTATCATTCTTTATAGCTGAGTAATATTCCATTGTATAAAAATACCACATCTTTTTCGTCCATTCCTCAGGTGATGGGCATCTTGGTTGTTTCCGAGATTTGGCTATCACAAATTGTGCTGCTATAAACATAGGTGCACATATATCATTATGATATGATGTTTTTAGTTCTTGTGGGAAAATTCCCAGTAGGGGGATAGCAGGATTGAATGGGATTTCCAGTCCAACTTTTCTAAGGAGTCTCCATACTGACTTCCATAACGGTTGCACCAGTCTACATTCCCACCAGCAGTGGAGAAGGGTTCCTTTTTCCCCACAGCCTCTCCAACATTTGTTGTTGGGTGATTTCTTTATGATAGCCATTCCTTCTGGGAATATCTCAATGTTGTTTTAATTTGAATTTCATGTATAGCTAGTGATGTGGAGCATTTTTTCATGTATTTATTAGCTTCTAGAATTTCTTCCTCTGAGAAGTGTGTGCTCATCTCAGTTGCCCATTTCTGGGCTGGGTCTTTACATTTTGGGGCCCTAATGTTTTTTAGTTCTTTACGAATTCTAGAGAGAAGATATATCTGTATATACCAAATAGTTATGATAGATATACAGCTACTTTCTCTTGGCTCAATGAGAAGAAAGATTTGTACTAATAGTGTTTAGACAAGATATCATGTCGGCATCTTGTATTATGAATACTACAAAGACAACAATATGAAATGTATTAATTATTATAACTATCTTATTAACCTGTTTTGAAACTGTCTCATTGCTATTTCTTTCTCAAAAAAATTAATTTAAAAAAAGAATTTGAAATCAAGGAATAGGAGTAAGGGTTCAAAATAAATAATCAGGAATAAAGGAAAAGATGAACTACATTTAAAACCACTTGATACTTTGTTATACTATGAGAATTGAACATTTAGTTAGATATTGTCTTTAAATTTACTAAATGAAATACTAAATCAATTTTATTGCTATTTACAAAAATCTATTAACATCAACAACATTGGTTTACCTTATCAGTTAGCATAAGTAGTTTATTACTGTGAATTTCTATTTCTTTGGAACAGATCTTGTAATTTAATAAAAAAATCATAATGAAGTTTTCCCACTTTAAATATGCCATCAAGTTTAAAGTTTTTGTTAATCTAACTTTACTCAAGAGTGAAGACATACACTTTTAGTGAGACGTCATAAACAATTGATGTGACATAACTAATTATGAAGGTCGTGCCTGAAAGTTGGATGGTTATAACCAAGGAACATTTAGCAACTTCTAAAGTATAAAATAGTAAATCCAATCTTTAAGAAACATTTTCCATATTTCTGTATAAAAACTCTAAATTTAATGTCCTTTTTACACACACACACACACACACACACGCACACATGCGCACACACACACACACACACACATGCACACGCACACACACTCACAGTTTTACTTATCTTTATTCAGAGCCAAGATTTTCTGTCAGTTTCTGGTATTGCCTACATAATGCTATTAAGGAGCATCTCGTAGATTCTCCCAAATAACGAATATCGAACAACATGATGCAATCTTTAGATCCCATTACGGTGTACCCAGGAAGAATAATGACTAACTGGCCAGCCTGATGGATGAATTAGTTAAAAGCTGATTTTACTATAATTTACCATTTTTTATTTGAAAAACTGGATGCCTGTTCATCTCTAAATTTGGATTATTTTGGTGTCCTATTAATCTAGAAGATGTAAAACATCAAAATAATTGCTGATGCTTATAATGAGAAGGAAGAGGAGGAGGAGGAAGAGGAGGAAGAAGAGGAAGAGGAAGAGGAGGAGAAGGAGGAGGGGCAGGAATTATGACAGCCATTGTGATAAAGACACGATGTAATTCAGCCGCTGACACCATATACTGCGTTCTACAATCACTAGTGATGATCAGATTTATGAGAGCCATATTAAAATAAATTGTAATGGATACATGTTTGGGATATTGTGGTATAAGATATTTAAAATTTAAAAATTACTTGTTGATTGATTGATGAAGGCTAACGGGCCTTACTTTCCACTTCTCCCTCCAACCAAAAAGTAAATTATGAGTGAATTTAAAAGTATAATTGGATGTTTTTAGTGATGCTCCTGCAAAACCTAGAAAATAAACTTATCCATAATATACTTGAACTATAGTTTCAATAGCTCTAAATGTTATCATTACTATTCATGCCAAATTGTAGTTCATATAATGCTTACATACACTGATAGGAAAATGACTGAGAAGGTAAATACTCAAAAATAAGGCCTAAGGGGCTGCGGAGATAGCTCAGTGGAATAAGTGCTTGTCTGGCAAGTGCAAGGTCCTGAGTTCGATCCTTAGTACTACAAAAAAAAAAAAAAAAAAAAAAAAAAAAAAAGAAAGAAAGAGCCTATAATATTTGACAGTTCTTTAAGAAAAATAGAGTTAAATTTTATTTAATGTTGGAACTCCCATTTCATTCCCTTACTTCATCCTTATATGCCTACTGATTTTGTAAAATTAGTGTTACTGATCAATCTCCTCTACATATTTTACAAAGCTAAAATAAGCCCAACTCATTGGTATTTGTTTCTCAATAAAATAAAATAAAAATAATAATTTTTTTCAACTAATAAATGCATTTACACAAACAGTAAAAAAATAAAATAAAATAAACGCAATTCAGTTCAACTTACTTAAACAATTTAAACATTATGTATTTACATTTTGTATATTTTGTCACATAAGCAGGCACATGACCTCTAATCACCAAATTAATTTGTACAACTTAGAAGTATTTTAATGTACTTACTTGAAGTAAAAGAATATGCCCAGTGAGATAACCAGTGACGCAATAGATAACCCATGTCCAATGATAGTCAGGTAGAACAAATTCAGTGCCGTCTGTAATTCACATTAATAAATAGAATTAGATTCTTAAAAATACTATCCCTTCTTTCTCATCTTGCAGAAGACCTAAAATTGAATTGAAAATATTCTGACTTTAAAAACATCTGACTGAAAGTAGCCTTATGATGATTTCCTTAAAGCAAATAGATACTCGAATACAACTGGGATGAAGGATAGTGAATTTTATATACCATACATCTTGTAAGCACCAGTCGCACATTAAATCCATGATGGACTGTTTAGTGGTGTACGTTACATGGTATATGAAGCTAGAATTCTATGTTTAAACTCAAGTGCTCCTTGACAATATGTCCTTTTCACACTTAAATGCCAGCTAGGGCTTGCTTTCTCAATTGGATTTCTCTTTTTTTTTGATCCATGTGTAAGTCTTACGGTGGTCACTTAAAAGATTTGTATCTATATAAATGTTTTATTGTTTTCCTCTTCCTTCTTTTCACTTTTCTATTTTTTAAATGTTTAAAATCGTTATTTATTTATTCATTTATTTATTTAGCACAGGGTCTCACTATGCAGCTCGTACTTGGAGTGATCCTCCTGTCTCAGCCTCCCCAGCACTGGGATTACAGGTGTGCACCACCATGCCCACTTTCAGGGGCTGGAACAGCACATCAGGGGTTCTAGGGCCGGCACTGCATGCAGTACCAGGGGCTGAACCTGGGTCCTTGCACTTAGACCCAGCCCATCTATTTTATATTTTTTAATCTACCATTTTGTAGTATTACTTTTATGTTTCTTTCCCCATACTTAAATGAATAAAGAGGGAATATAAAATTTATAAAAAATGTCATGAGGACATTATCAAGAGCTTACTGTGCGCTAGTCTTCAATTTTCCCTTCATGAAGTAAATCCTCCTGAAAGCCATCCTGAAATCTATTGTCCTTCCATTTTGCATATGAATGGACCAAGCTGAAGAGACACTGAATATCTTGCCTAAGGTCATGCGGCGGGTATAAAGCAGAGACAGCAAATCATGACCCACCACTTAGCTTTATTTATTTTTTATTGATTTTTTAAAAATTATTTTTTGAGGACTGAGGAGATAGCTCAGTAGGATAAGTGCTTGTCTGGCAAGCACAAGGGCCTGAGTTCAATCCCCTGTTCTGCCAAAAAAAAAGATAATAAATAAATATATATAAATATTTTTTAAATTCTTTTGTATTTAGAACAGGGTCTACAGGATGTACAGGGTCTCACTGTGTAGATCGGACTCATAGTGATTTTCCTGTTTTCAGCCTCCTACGTGTTGGGATTACAGGCACCTGCCATTACACCCAGTCTGAATTGCCATCTCAGCGTGCCCCAGGGGCAAGGCCGGCACAAGGATCGAACTCCTGGCCCCTGCATCTGCCTACGCAGATGCTTTAATCCACTGAGCTATTTGGCTGGCCCTCACCATTCAGTTTTAATCATTGTGACAAATGGCCTGAGTATTCACGCACACAAGTGCAAAAATACCCAGGCATTCTCTGTGAAGCTTTATCATGGCGACAAACTCTAATTTAGTGCCTGGTGCTCAAAGTGGGAACCTAACAGTCAGAATGACAGCTTTCTCCAGAGGGACAAATAGTATAGTTTAAGCCCTACTGAGCTTATCCTGTTTATTTAAGCACAATTTCTGAGGTAATTCTAGACTTCTTCCGCAAGGGAAAGTTATCCCTTTCCTTACACGCTAAAGGTATGTTTTCCTTGGAAAATCTGAAACCGCCGTACTGAGATATTGACTTGTAAATACCCTTCTATCTAACAGACAGCGTCCTCCATGTCATGATTCCTTCCACACATATGTTTCATTGTTCTTCTCAAATTATATTATGAAGTGATTTTGCCGCAGGATGGAAACTAACCACATTTTCTCTGATATTGCATGAGACAACTCATTGCTAAAGCAGATTGTGTAAAGGAAGCCTTAGTTCACGACGGTGACACACCTTCACTTTGTCAGACGTGTTGATGTTGCACTGGGTATAGTTGGTCCACGTTCTGTTGCTTTCCGGATGTCTAAACCAGTTTCCGTCTTGATCGCAGATCTTTGTAACTTTCTCTGTAAAGGGAGGAAGATCACAGGCGTTCGTTAGCCTAGAGCTTATTAAGTACTCGGCAAGGAGAGTTGCATGCAAATGTCTGCTTTCACCTGAAGGGTCAAAGTCTTGAAAGTAATCCGGGCAGTGCTGCATGGCCTCCGTTCCGGCGGCCACGTCGTTCCAGCAGAGCCAGCCGTCCCATGTCCTGTTGCAGTAAGTGCCTGTGGAGGGAAGGGAAGCGGGTGGAGGGTCACTCACTGGCACCACTGCGTGAGATGGTCCACTTTCCAGGAGGGCTTTTCGCTGACACGGAATAAAGCCTCTCTACTGAACATAAAGATGTTTCTAGAGCTTCCTTTTCTCTTCAAATCGAGTAGAACGCTTAATAATGTCACACATCTCTCCAACTTGTTAAAAATACAAGTGAAGTAATGTAGACACACAAGCTTAAATATTGCACTGTATCTTGTCTATGAAAAACTTTAGCATATATGTATGTCAAAATAAAAGATAGATAATAGAAAACGAGAGAGAAAAAATATTTATTGTAATTCCACAATGTATCCAAACATATATCTTGACTTGGTACAATTGTCTTGCATGTTTTATGTGTTCTTTGTCTGTTCCTCTGGTTTTAATCTGCATATGAGATAATTAACTTTATAAGGTCTTATAAGATAAATAAATGAATCCACTGCTCTAAAAATAAAAGGAAGGTGGAGGAAGGAAAAAACTAAGTCTTGAAATGCGTTGCGGATGTGTGCTAAAGCACTATAGAGAATGTCATTATTATGTGCTGCAAACATGTACTACTAGAAATTAGAAATGCTTTTCTAACATAAAAATGAAAATGTGTATAGCTTTTTCAAGACATAGAGAAATTAACTGATTATTGTTCCAATATTTTAACATTCTGTGATCAAAGAAAGAATTTTTTTTTTTTAAATAGAACTTCAAATGCTATCCAAGATATGTATTAATTCTAACGGATGGACATGGTCATCTTGAAATAAAACAAGCCCTCCCTCTTGAGAATAGAAAAAAATCTTAATGGCTTGAAATGAAATGATCACAAGTTTTAAAAAGAACTTCAGATGAGATAATCACAATTTTCTCTCTCCTGTAAACAGTTTTAAACATTTGAGTGATTTCTAAATAAATAAGAGTAAAATAAATTTTGTGGTTTAGCAGAAAAATTTTTCATAAATACTTTTTATTTTATTTTATTAAGAAACAAATAGCAATGAGGCAGTTTCAAAACTGATTAATAGGACAGTTTTCAATAATTAATACATTGTACATTGTTATCTTCTTAGTGGTTATCCATAGTACAAGAAGCTGACAGGATATCCTGTCCAAACACTATTAGTACAAATCTTTCTTCTCATTAAGTGAAAGTAGCTGTATATCTATCCTAACTATTCTGTATATACAGATACAAAATGGTCCTCCCTTTGTATCCCCTTTTTTGTTTAGACTGTCAGAGATGGGTATTCCATTGGCATCTAAATACTATATGTGCGTAAATTCAGCAAAACAGTCCAACTCACTGTGAATGCTAGGATTTATATTTTGAAAGTAACACTTTCTTAAGATTGCCAGATAAAATATAGGGACTGTTTTTGTGTTTGCTAATTAAGGCAATCCTACTTATATTGTGGTTTCTTTTGGTTTTGTTTTTTATTTTTTGGCAGAACCAGGGATTGAACTCAGGCCCTTGTGCTTGCCAGGGAAGCACTTATTCTACTCAGCCATCTCCCTGGCTCAGTTCTACTTATGTTACTCATGTTTATATCTTCAAAATCTAAGCAAATCCCGGAGCTTAATAGTTCCTTCAGAAGTGTGAGTAAGAAGAAAAGAGAATATTTTAATGGAAGCAGAAACATTTGGACTTCATTAGCTTTGCGACCAAGCATACTGTAAAAATGTGTATTATGTTTTTCAAAAATCTCATGTACTGACATTTTATTTTATAAGTTCATATCAAGCAAGCTCTAATAAAAATAAGTCTAAATTAAATGAGCTGGAGGTCAATTATCACTGACTTAGATTTGTTTCTTTGCAAAAAATTTAATACAGTTTGATGTGTTTAATATCTTTACGTGTTATTTTAAAATGATGGTATCACATATTTTAATTAGATTTCCCTAAAATAGTTGAGATAAATCAGAAGGTATTTCCACAAATAAGTAATATTAAAACTGCATATTTACCAGAAATCAAGCCACCAATTAATTTTTAAGAATAGGCCAAAGAACAAAGTAATATAGAGGGTAATTTTCTTTTAAAAATGTGTCAAGTGCCTTGGGAATTAAATAGTCGCAGTTACCTTCTGTCTGTGGCATAGGATCTTGCATAATTTTTTGGTAACACTCGTACTGAGCAGTCATGATTTTATTTCGAGTCACCCTCAAGTGCACGGTGTCATTGGGGTGTTCTTCAGGTTCTGCTGCGGCGAGACTCTACGAGATTAAAACAACTTCAGAACTGAGCCAACACCTTTGCCAGAGGCCACCAGTCATTGTGGAAAGCAGTAAATGTGGGGTTCTGCTGGATGGGACACTGGCTCTCCAAGAGCAACTCTCAATTTGTGATGTTTGCCCAGTCTCAGTGTTCCCACAGCGTTCAGCTCAAGCAGCCACCAAAATGTCACCAACGACAGAGCTGGGAAGCACAGTTAGGTCCTGTGAGTCTCGTGTGTGGTCACTGGCCCCCACATAACCTGGGCATGCACCCTGAAATATACACAGAGCTCTTCCAGGGGGCCTCCGTGTTTTGGCCTGCTCTCTAACTGTGGCAAGATGTTCGCCTTACCCAGCAATGATGTGCGGCAGCACCAAGGTAACTAGTATGTGCTAAAACTTCATGCAAACTGTTGCCATACATCAGTAATGAAAAGTTAATTATAATATTGGGAAATTGAGTTTTCACTGAAGGCACCTCAATAAAGTGTTAAGTAAGTTGTAAACAAACATATTCTGATTTAGAAGCGATAGTTCGTTTCAGTTCTTCTTTAACATTTGCATTAGCCTTGTGCTGAATGATATGAAGCTAATATAAATCTTTCAATCCATTTTTCACCTTATTTCTACTTGATACCCCCATAAGAAGTTATCTTTCTAGTCCTTTTTTGTCATCTCTTTCATAATTTTCTGTTTTCTAGCAGGGAGTTAAAATGAGTAAAATCAAAATACTGATACTCTCTCACCTATTTTTGCCATCACCTGATCAGTCTTTCATACGAACTCTTTCACACTTTGATTTTAAATTCCTAAAAGAAAGATTTTTGATGAGGATTGCTACTGTCCAGTACTGACTGGCAATGTAGAACATTACCCAAGATGACATTTTTAGGGGACTCACTTTGCATTTTTTTTTTCCAAAGATCTGACTCATGAATGTTCCAAGCTGAGCTAGGCCTGTTGGATCAAAGCACAGAGGAGGGCAGAGGGACCCTGCCGCTCAGATTCCACACACTCAAAGGTAACTTCTCAGTTTGCAGGACTTGATCTCTCCCTAGATTTCAATATGTTTGAAATGCAGAGGCTGACAGGAATATAATCTCCCCCCTCACTTAGGTTTTCCGCATTTTTCCTGAGTTCCTTAGAGTCTTTGTGGGGTTTGATATGGAAATATCATAGGAAAAATCTTTGTTGGCACAGAATTAGGTGAGATTATGTCTCAGTTTCTCATACGCATAATAATATAATGGCACAGTCAATGTTTTCACTTGAAGCAGAGAAAAATAGGAATGAACATTTGAATAAATAAAAAATAGTTAGAAAAGGCACCTGATTCCTTTAGGAGAGCAATAGATTTCACCACCTTTTACATCTTTCCTGCATCCCTAACACATATAGGCAGACGTGTACCCAAGTGTTCATGTACACAGGCACACACACCCCCGCGCGCGCACACACACACACACACACACACACACACACACCTGCCTCGAATTTTAGCACCAATGTCTACTCCTTGAATAACTGCATGAGAAAATCAATTCAAAACACACTTCACCGTTCTCAATCACCTTTCAGTCAATGTGTATCAATCAGTTGTTGAAAAGAAGGAAAAAAAAATCAGCGAACTGGTAGTGCTACTTTAAAAATCTAATTCAGAATCCCCAAGGTTGCTTAAAAACATTTTCTTTCAATGTACAACTATAGGACACAAGGGTTTTGGACTTTGGTGACTTTCTCTGGTGCTTCCCCTGGTTGCGTGCTGCGTTCCCCACAACCTGACTCTCGTGAGGCTGTGTTACCCTGTACAGGTAGTGCACACAAAACACACACTGAAAAAAAAGTATTGTTATGCTGATTTGGTATAGATGTAATTATGCATCCCATGTCCAACTTAATTTGTTGTTATTTACCTTTATAAATTATAGGTATATGGGCAGAAAAATATAAACATTAAATACAGATAAATCAGAGGAATTTATACTTACCATTAATAAAGGAAAAAGCAGCAAAAAATACAGGGTATACTTTTTCTCCATCTTTATAGCCCAAATAAATTATTTGTAAATCAAGCTGTACTGTAAAATGAAAGAAACAAAATATTTTATTAATATTTATGACATAAATAGGTATAGCTCTCAAAAGAATTTTTTTTTTTCAGAACAGGTGATTGAACTCAGATCTTTGCACTTGCCAGGAAAGTGCTTATTCTACTGAGCCATGTCCCTGGCCCTTCAAAAGAAAATTTATCACACAGCGATAGAATACTTTTATTTGAAAATCAGTAAGGATAAAGCGCTAAAGAGATTTAACATTTTTAGGTAAATTAAATTGGATTTATTTATAGGAAAAATTATTTCATATATATTTTTGAGTGACTAAAAAGAACCTTACTTTTTTTGTCATTACCAAAATTGGGATAAAATGATTAAAGTATTAAAATTGAAAACTTTTTTTTTAAATCAATTTATTTTTTATGTATTTGGTATAAGGTCTCACTACGCAGCTCAAATTCATAGTGATCCTCCTGTTTTCAGCCTCCCCAGCACTGGGATTACAGGCGTGCACCACCAGACATGGTCTTGGTGATCTGTTCAGTGTGCTCAGTGGTGGGGCCGGCACAGTATATGGTGCCAAGGATCCAACCCCAGTCCCTGCACTTGCCTAAACAGGTGCTTAATCCACTGGGCTATCTCTCTAGTTCTGAAAAATTGAAAGCTTTAAGTGATCATCTTAACGGAAATTTTAATAACGTATTTTATTGTGAAATTTATCTTCATTTTCTTTAAATGTTGCTAGGCTAATTGGTAATTCTTGGGACAGTTTCTAGACAATAAACATATCTACATGATTAAGATGTTCTTATAATTTAATAGAAATAACTGTTTTCACAACAGGAAAATCTTTTTAAATCAGGAAATAAATGCTTTCATAAGCCATCAACATTATTTATATAAGGCACAGGACATGGAAAGTATCAAACCAAGTACTTCCAGTGATAAGCACCATCTGAGCTATCAGTGGTGAACTCTCGAATTCACCCACCATCTTGATTGTAAGAGCCACGTCTTCCTGGGTAACAGTTCCTACTGTGTGCTTTCTGTGAAGACCAGGATCGACATACAGGAATGGCCATGAAATAGCCATAAAATATAACACTTGTTTAATTGAATATGAGAAAAACTAGTTTCAAAAAGAAATCCTGAACAGATATTTGACATTGAATTCTGAACTTAGATTTGATTTTCTTAGGAAATGTAGAATTTTAAAAAAATTTCTTTATTTGGTACAAGGTCTCGCTACGCAGTTTGGACTCATAGTGAACCTTCTGTCTTGGCCTCCCCAGCACTGGGATTACAGGTGTGCCCCACCACCCTCTTTTGGGGGGTTGGCACAGCATGTGATTCTAGGGATCAAACCTGGGTCCTTGTGCTTCCCAGACAGGTGCTTAGACCACAGAGCTATTTCTCCAGCCTGAAACCTAGGATTCTTATCATTAGGCTATAGTCCAAACAGGAATTGTCAAGCCCCTTTGTTTAATATTTTTATCCCATACAAGAACAGCACAGCACTGAGTTGCACATAGCGTCCCCGCCGGCTCCCCTTCTCCAGGACTCACCTAGCAGGATCTCCTTGTTGGTCGTAGCAATCCTCTGGGCTTGGTTTTCTCTTCTCTTTGTATCTCGGGATTTATTATTAAGTGATCTTAAGAAGAACATAATAAAAAAAAATCAGGAAGCCTTGTATTCATCTTAAATATTAAAAATAAGATTGTAACTGATAAAATTAAGAATCAAAGTTTCTGTAACTCAGTAATTAATGACCTGTTGCTTTAGTTTTTATTACATTTTGCCATGAAAAGATCTAATTTCCCAGTACTTACATGCACGATTGTCTCCAGACTCAAATCACATTTTCTCTTGGATCATATCTGACATTGTCTTGAAGAATTTCTTAAAGTCAGAGGTCATGACCTAAAATATGGATGGATTTTATAATAATTTAATATTATGTTAATGATACAAATTATTTCCACATACTCAGTACTACCAGTGGCACTTTGTGGAGCTACTTTACTGTTTGAGATCTCTTGTCTACCATACAGTTAACATAGCAAAGTTACTGCATGCTTCGATACAAATCATAGATATATACATTTGGCCTTGAAACATATTTTTCCATGAATAGATGATTTTAAAGAGGGATTATGCTGTTTTGCATAAAAATAATGAGTGAATGTTGACTTCTGCATTATTCATTTTCTCATGGGCCTATGAAAATATTGTTTGCAGGCATTCATTCCCTAGATAAATATATCTAAATTTATTGCATCGATTGTAATTCTGAATCATATTGCCTTTAGAAAGACTACAAAAGAAGAAATATTTTTGCTTCATTTTAGTCTTTTGCATACATTTTTATCTGAGTATAGAGATGGGATTGCCCTAAAACGCTCCTGATCAGTGACAACTTGTTAGGAATTGGTGTTGAAAGGTGAAAAATTAGAACAATTTAAGATTCACGATTAAGTTTCACTCTGAAACATGGTACTTGATCCAGAGTGAGGAGATGAGAGTGGGGAGTACAGCTGAGCTTCAGGCTGTGTCCCGCAGCCTGGGAAATCCCTCACTTCTGATCAGCTTTCTGCCAAGTCCCGTATTCCCACACAGCAGAACTTGGTGAAATGTCCAGTTCCCCGTCTTTAGGTGTTAGAGCAATTGTTCTCACTGCTGTAAGTGTTTGGATGCCATATGGAGTAGTTAACAATTAGAGACCATATTAATAAAGGAAATGCATCAGACATGCATGTGTAAACGTCATGTCTCCCCCAATGTAAGAAACTGAAAGAAGAAATAAGATCCAAAAGATACAGTGGATATTGTGAATGGAAAGAAAGTACTCGAAATGAAACAACAACTAGGATGGAGCAAAAGAGAAAGGAGGAAGGGGAAAAAAAATATATGGGGCTGGCCAAATAGCTCAGTAGATTAAAGCACCTTCAAGCAGGCACAGGGGCCAGGGGTTTGATCCCCGGGTCTGCCCTGCCAGCCCCGCCCCCAGGGGGTGCTGAGACAGCAATTGAGACTGGGCGTGGTGGCACGCGCCTGTAATCCCAGCTCTTGGGAGGCTTTAAATAGGTGGGTCACTACGAGTCCAATCTAGGAGTGAGACCTTGAACACCCTGTAGACCTTTCCCTGAAATATACAACAACAAAAACAAAAGCAAACGA